GGGGCCTGAACCGAGGATCCTAGTAAGAATGGGGTGTCCCAAGGGGGGAGGGGCCGGGAGCAGAACTCCCTGAAAGAAGACAGGGATTGGGATCCCGCCACGCCGGGTCTTGATGGAGGAGGGCAGGAGCTCTGGGCATATAAGGAGAGGTGGGTCTGGGCTTTGGACTTGGGGTTTCCGGAGATGGGGTGGGACCCCCACACCAGTGCTGAATGTATATCCGATGCGTGTGATCCTCTTCCTCTCTTATGGCCACCCGACTTCCTTCTCCCCTTTCTTCTCCCTGTGCCCCTTCCCCAGAATTGGACTCTGAGTCTTTCCCTGGTGCCCTGGGCAGAAGCTTGGGGGTTCCCTACGGGGTATCAGGTTCTTCACCCCATAACTCTTCCTAATTGTCTCTTTGTATCCCCCTTTATCCCCAGAAGAAGAGCGCCCCAAACCAAGGTGAGACTCTATGGGGTGGGGCTGGGGTACACAGCATTGCTCCTAAACAATCCCCCACCTCCAGAGGTAGGGTGTAAAAAGGTAGAAACGACAGGGCATGGGAATGAGGCCACTAACCTAACCCTAACCCCAACCTAAGCCACCACCTCTCAGCTTGCATTTCCAGGACCTCACACGGTGTGTGGCAGGGCAGACCCTCTTTGCCACCATAATGGTGAAATAGACCCAGGGACAGTAATGGGATCCCAGGTTCCAGAGGAGCCTGGCAGGGGGCCCTGCTCTTGCTCTGGGCATTCCAGGAAGGCTTCTCCTGGGAGTCACCTCTAGTGGACAGGAGGTAGGAGGGACATTGTAGGAGAGAAGACTAGTGGCCGCATATAAACCAGCCCAGGGTACTGATAGTCATTCTCATAATGAGCATCCTAAGCTAAGCAGATCAGTGGAGGCTGTGGGAGCTCATAGAGTGACATTGGGGACAAGGCTTGGAGATGCAAGGAAGCAGCCATCCAACTATGAAGGAAACCAGCAGCATCAATTCTGGATGGCAAGTGGTGCAAATTTCATTATACCTAGAGTTCAGTGTGCAAGAAGGAGCCGAGTTGTGGAGGCCAGGGCACTGTGGAGCCATGGAAAGGCTAGATCTAGCGGAGAGGGCACGTGAGAACGCAGATGAGTTTCCCTGCCAGAGAAGGTCTGTGGAGAAGGGGATGGAGTTTGTCAGGGGAAGAGCATCAGGCCAGAGGGCACAGCAAGTGCAAAGGCCCAGGGGTGTGAAGACATGGGGCACAACCAGGGCACCATGGACTGCTGAATGCGTATGAGAAGATGAGAGGAGAGGAGGTTTAGAGAAGCTGGCAGGGGCCTGATGGGGGAGGGTCAGAATCCTGGCCAGTGGCTTGGACTTGTATTTAGGGTAGGGCCAAGTTGAGGAAGGATTCAGTTCAGGAGTTTAGAAAGGTCCCTCTGGAGTCTTAAAGGAGGATGAGCCACAAGCTGGAGGCAAGGAGGCCAGAGAGGAGGCTGGGAGGTTGGTTCAGGTGGGAAGGAAAGAGGACTGTGCTGGGGCAGGGGGCTGTGGGATGTAAAGGAAGGGGCAGATTGAGAGAATCCAGGTAAAGGGACAGGACTTGGGGTTAGATGAGCTGTTGGGCAAGGGAGAGAGGTGACAAGGACAGCCCTCCAGGGTCTCTGGGCTGGGAACAAAGGGACAGTGAGCTGGGACAGCCTGCAGAAGTTGCTGAGCTCTGCTGGGGCCCGGGATGGGGAGGTACAGAATGTTCGGGAGGTGTCCATCAACATGAGTCTGGGCTCAGGAGAGAGGTGGGCTGGAGATGGAGTTGGCGCAGTCTCAGCACAGTGGAACCACGGGATTGGGAATTCCACCGGTGCAGATCAGAGACGTTAGAACAATTGTGTCTACTGAACACGTAGAGGCTTTTCTCTTGACACCATTCCCTAAACAACACAGTGTTCTCGGTAAGCAACACCAGTCCGCAGCACCAGCATGGTAGTAGGTACTGCAGGTTATCTAGGGATGACTTACAAATAAGTCACATGCCAGCCTTACACCACTTTATATGAGGAAGGCGAGAGTCCGTGGAGTTTGACATCCACTGGGGACCCTGGAACCAATTCCCCTCGACACCAGGGAGAACACGGAAGCCCCTGGCACTGTCCTTTGAATGAAGCAGAGGGCAGGCTCTTTGGAAGGCTCCTGGGGATGGGATAGCGGGAGAGGTCGAGGTGGATCAGGAAAGAGAGCGTTCCAAGGAGGTGGGGAGTGCGCGGTGGCAGAGAATCAGAGAAGGGCCTGGGCTGACTCCCAGGACAGCCCCACCCACAGGACACAAGCCACGTGTGTCATTGAAATGCATTATTAGCCACATTTAAAAATGTCTGCAAAAGCAGGTGACATGAATTGTCCAGGCACAGTTTATTCCACCTACTATATTCAAACGTCATCACGTATAAAACCCCGTCTGGGAGGTCTGCCCGCTCACTGTCCCCACCTGCCCCGCAGCCGTCCGGTGGTTCCTCCTTTGATCCCCCCGAAGATCCCAGAAGGGGAGCGTGTGGACTTCGATGTAAGTAGCAGCCGTTCCCAGAGCGGCGCCCCCGCGGGTTAGGGAGGCGCTGCCCACCGCCTTCGCTGGACGCGCGCACGCGCTGCTTTGCCGCCATCTGCGGGGGCCCTCCGTGGGACCCCGACACCGGGGGCCTGCCGGCCGGCTCCAACGGGTTCCCCTGGCCCCGCAGGACATCCACCGTAAGCGCATGGAGAAAGACCTGCTGGAGCTGCAGACGCTCATCGACGTGCATTTCGAGCAGCGGAAGAAAGAGGAGGAGGAGCTCATCGCGCTGAAGGAGCGCATTGTGAGTGGGGCACTGGGGCGCCCGCCTCCCCGCGCTGCTCCTCGCCGGATCTTGAGGGACGTGAGCTCCCCTGGGTCCGGAGCCGGGGCGGAGGCTGTGGGAACGGGCGCTCTGGCCTCCTCTCCACCCTCGGGCCCCGCTTGGGCAGGGACGGCCGGGCGCCTCCCACCCTCTCATTCTCCTGCCCGCAGGAGCGGCGCCGGGCGGAGAGAGCCGAGCAGCAGCGCTTCCGAACCGAGAAGGAGCGCGAGCGGCAGGCCAAGCTGGCGGTGGGTGCCTCCCCTCCCCTGGGGCGCACCCTCCCTCCTGGTGGGGTGCTGCTGTTCCCGTTCCTGACACTCTGCGTGGTGCGCAGTATCACCTAAGGCTCTTCCTGTTGGAAGGGATGGAAACTCAACCCTAACTGGGTTCAGCAGAAAGGAAAGGCGGGGTGGTGCACCCGTGTGGTCCCAGGCGCTTGGCAGGCTGAGGCAGGAGTATTGCAAGTTCAACGCCAGCCTCTGTGAGACCCTGTCTCAAAACAAAACAAAAAGGGGTGGGGAGGTGCGCCTTGGTTCCCTCCCTGGTTAAAAAAACAAAAACAAAAACAAAAACAAAAAAGCCTAGAACTGCTGTTGCTTCAGGCCTGGTTGGATCAGGGGACTCAGACACCAGAGAGCTTTTCTTCTTCCAATCCTTGGTCACCTTTCTGTGAATACTAGGGTGACCAACTCTCCTCTTGGCTTGTCTGATAATTTCCTGGGTTTAGCCAGGAAACTTCCACATCCTGTTAGTCTCCTGCAAACTGCAATGGCTGATCACCCTGCAGACTGACCACCAGCAGCCCTGGCCTAAACTCTGCTCTGCTTTCCGCACAAATCCAGGGAGGCGTTGAAGCTGCTCTTTCCCCAACGGAGCTGAGCTCTGGCCACAGCTGACCCCTGAGGGTGCTAGGGTGGTTTGAAATGTCACCGTGTTGGCATTAAGAAGTGGGTCCTCATGCAGCCCACTGTTTAAGGCTGAGAGCAGGGTGTAGTGGAAGGCAGGATATGCCTCCGAGGTACCCACACCCAGGCCCACAGTCTGTGGGTTGTGCAACTGTGCCCAGCCAACAGGCTTCGCAGATGAGACCAGATCAGGATCTGGAAGGTGGTTGTGGATTTGCATCTTCTTGCCACCCTTGCGCCAGGGTCGGTCCTCAGGCGGGGGAGGATGGAAGGCCAGAGCCAGGGAGATTTAAGATGCTGCCTGCTGCCTTGGGAGCCAGAGGCCCGGTGGGAGGGCACTGCCCCTGGGAGCTAGAAAAGGTGGGAAGGGCGTCACCCAGGAGCCTGGAGGACCAGGTCAGCTCACCCCTCGGTTTGGGCCCAGCGAGGCCATTTCAGGCTTCTGAACCCCGGAACTGCATTGCTTTAAGTTTGCAGATTACAGCAGCAGCTGGCTATGGGGAGAGAAGGCTGGCCTTCGAAGCCATGGTCCCACCACCCCTCAGAGGGGAGGGGCTCGGCTGCAGGATCCCGGGTCTCTCAGGTGCCCTGCTGTCGCTGGAGCACTGTGGTGCCTGGAGCCCGGCCACCCCTTTTTCTTTTTTGTGGTGCTGGGGATGCAGAGTTTAGGCCAGGGCTGCTAGGGCCTCCTACATGCTAGGCAAGTGCTCCACCACTGAACCCCAGCCCAGCCCCGGCCACCAGCCTCTGTATGCCCAACACCTTGGCGTCAGCACCTCTGGCCTCTCGAGACCAGGGAGGCGAGGCTCACAGCAGAGCCCGGGGGGCCATTCAGGCTGCAGGCCGCAGGAGAAGCCAGCACCCCCCATTCTTCAGTGTTTGCTGGGAGGACATTCAAGCCCCGGGGAGGACTGTATGGATGGCCACATAGCCCGGCCAGGAGGGGAGGCAGGCTCTCCTCCCTATGCTCCCTATGCTGCATCCCAGGGCCTCCCCCTCAGTCTGCAAGGGAGAAGGGAGGCCATGGGTAAACCCCCACCCCCACAGGAGGAGAAGATGCGGAAGGAGGAGGAGGAGGCCAAGAAGAGAGCAGAGGACGATGCCAAGAAGAAGAAGGTTCTGTCCAACATGGGGGCCCACTTTGGGGGCTACCTGGTCAAGGTGTGTTCAGCCTGCAGGGGCCGGGAGTCTATATTCTATGGGGAGGGAATGGTGGGCCCAGACTTCTGGTTCTGGATGGAGGATGGCTGGGGCCTGGACCCCCAGGTCTGAGAGAGGAGGGCTAGGCCTGGACCCTGGGTCTGAGGGAGGAGGCTGGGCCTGGACCCTGGGTCGGTGGGATAGGGCTGGGCCTGGACCCTGGGTCTGAGGGAGGGGGCTGGGCCTGGACCCTGGGTCTGAGGGAGGGAAGGCCAAGGCCCAGGCTTTCTGGTCCCCACTGATGGGGACTGGAAAGGTCATGACCTTACTCTCTGGTTGCTGACCTCCCCTGTCTTGCCCTGTTGTGCAGGTCTGGCCTAGGCCCGGGATCGGACCAGGCCCCCATCCCTTCCTGCCCGGACTGTGAACTCATCTCCTCGAAGCCATAATGTCCGAGCTGCTGGTGCGGGGCAGCCCTGGGCTTGCCCTTCCTCCCCCTGGAGCGGGAGGCGGGGAGGCAGGCCCAGCTCCCTGTTTCAGGGTGGGGGGCTTTCAGCCTCCACTGTCTGTCTTCTCTTTCCTGGGGCTCCCCCTCGAGGCAAGGGGCCGTGCATGTCTGGGGGACCCCCACCCCACAAACCCTCTGTCTCTGTCTCTTGACTGTTGTCCAAGACTTGGTGTCCTGACCCTTGTACGAGTGTGAATGTCAACAGACCAGTCCTCTGTGTCCCCCAGACACTCGCTCACACCTGTGTCCGCCCCTTGTGTTCGCCACACCC